CTCTTGTCCTTTCCTCTGCCCTTTCCGCCCTTGGGCTCGCCGCCCTTGCTGTTGCCCCCACCCTGGTGACCACCGGCCTGCGCGCGCGCGCGCTCCCGACGCTTATGCTCCGATTGGCTGTAAGAAGCCGCTTCCGTCACCAACCAGCTCGGCGCCACATCCGAGGAGAAAGAAGACGGCTTGATCGCAAGCATGCTCTGCGCGGCATCCTTGTCCCCGGTGCGCCGTTCATGAATCCAGGCCGCTAGGCGGCGCAGCGCCACCTCACAGGTGTCATCCTGTGCGATGATGCTCAGGATCTTCGCCTGCGACGTGCCTCCCTCTTTCGCCTTGAAATCGACCAGGGACGCCAGGTTGAACAGATCCACATAATGAGCAGAGTGTCTCTGATCTACGCTGAACATGCTGTTCACCCAGTCGCGAACGCATCGCACCCCGGATGCCTTCATAGACGCATAGATCTCGGGCCCAGCCCGCTTGAGATCCGGAGGCAAAGAGGCCTCCCAGCCCTCCGGGCCGTCATCTCCCTCGTCCTGCCACGCCAGGCTCTCTTGAGCCCGGAAGGCATCTAACGAGTGCGAGACAGCACCTGCCGCAGCTAACTCCTCGAGCTTCTCCTTGAGTTCTTTGAAACGCGGCGGGGTCCCAAGTAGCCCTGAGCGAAAAGAAGTACTTTCAACCTTCTTTCCAAAGGCTCCAGAAGGCCGACCTCTTGTCTTGCCAGAAGGACTTCGCCCACACAGGTAGCAGAGCCGATCGCGCATGCCACTGCACCAGAAGGTCCTTGACCTTCTTAGCTTGCTCCAGCATGTTCTCATGCCCTTGCATTGGGGCAAAGCAGCCTGCTCTGGCACCGGCGGCCCTTCTGGCCCTTCGGACTTCCCGCCAAAGACGCTTCCTTGCTGAGCTTGCAAAGCCTTCAGCTGTTCACCAAGCACTTCTTTCACGCTGGCCGGCACTTCTTCAAAGGTCACCAAGCTGACGTCTGGGCCGTCACACCTTGCACTAAAGCACCTCCAGCCAGGCTCACGGAGATGGAGCCTTGCTCCCGTTTCTCGACGACTCCAAAGCAGTCGTGCAGCTCTGGTTTTTTGAGGCAGTTGAAACGAACCAAAGCGCTTCTTCGGCAACACACTAAGAGTAGTAGCAGCATTTCCAGGCGCCGGGACCACTAAGAGCGCAACCGATGGACTTGGTAGCTTGCGCTCTTGGCCCAGAGGCACTCCTGTTACAAGCTTTACTTCAAGTCTCCAACGTCGCCATGCTTCTGCCACTGCCATCAGCATGAACGGCTCCGAACACACTTCGCAGTAGCATACGTCCGCGCATCGAGAGCCAGTTCTTAGAAGCACGCACAAGTGAAAACAAGCAAGCATTTCCCTTCCAGTCTACGATGCAAACAAAAATCATGCTACGATTTCGAAGACTGCACGTTCAACTCCGCTCAGCTCACTCAACAATTTCGAGTTGGTTTTCTTCTTGTTGTGTGTCAAGAAGACGTTTTTTTTATTCTTGTTGGTGGAGAAAAGACAATTTTTTTTTTCTTCGTGGCAGAGAACGAAAACGTATTGTGTTTTTCAGAGAGGAGTTGGAAGGAACCATAGTAATCAGCATTCACTTTACTCCGCTTTGTGCATACTTAAACCATTTCTTGTCAACCATTTTGAAGAGCCTCCGGCTCAGACCGCAACTCGGTCCATGCGCAAGCTGGAGTGAACGGAAGCGCATGCGGCGCGCGTGTCGCGTGTGGCTTCCAGCTCTGAAATCTTTGTGCGCTGTTGTGCAGGGTGGGCAGTTGCGGAAATTCTAAGATGCAGTGGAGACTTGCGGATTGTAACTGGCTGCGGATTTGGAGCTGGCCTGAGCATCTCTGAATGTAGACCCTAAACTCTAAACCCTTCACCACCTGTCCATAAAACCTTGTGGGCGTGGTTTTAGGGCTTCCGGCCTCTAGGAGTTCGCAGTTAAGGATGTGGTGTTTTAAAGTTTAGGGTTTAGGTTTGGGGGTTAGAGTTGTTCGGACAGTCTTCGCCCCACACGCCCCCATAAAGAGGTGAGGCGTGGGGGGGAGTGAGAGGGAGGGGAGGAGGGGGAAGGTAGCGGGGGAGTGAGGGAAGGTGGGGAGTTTCGGGGAGGGGGTGAAATAACCACATTTCCTGGCTTTACACTGCGTTGCGCTGAGCGCAATTTTATATCAGAAAACCCTAAACCGTAGAAACTACCCCAGGCCACCCTCTGGTTTTGGAGGGAATGTTTTCAAGGAATGTTTTGAATGATGCTTGCTTTGGCGCGCTTCCGCCGCCGCCATAAGCACCAAGCACCAATTAACACCACAGCACGATTGGCCCCTCACACCTCGTGCGCAGCTCAGGGTGGAGGGACAAGCTGGTCATTGTCCTTCCTGTGGAACCAGCTCCCAAGCCAACATGAAAGACAGGTGCATCCTATCACATGGAGGCTGGACCAGCTTATAGATAAGTGTCAGACAGGGCTTTTGCAGCACAACATGTGGTGACCTTCGAGGCGCACGACATCATCGCTATCATTTTGACCATGGTAACCATCATGATCGGGCGCTTCTTCCTATCAAGGCACGTGCGTGTTGACTACACACCCAGTGCGGTGGTGAATCAAGATTTGCTGGCCAGGTCTTCAGGAGACACAGGAGTGCTGCGCTCAGGGCTTATGGAGTGTTTGTTGTCCAGAACAAGTTCGCAGAAAATGTCATTGCCATGCTTTATGGAAAAAGAACATCGTGGTCAGATGCAAATAACAACTAAAGAGCATCCCACATGGTTGATGTGATCAAAACGGTTTTCTTTCACATGGGCACATGAGCATGCTTTTTGAAGTTTGCAGGGTTGACTGCCATGGAATGCGTGCCCATCGAGGACTTCTTGAAAAATTAGGTTTGGTATGCAGGACTTCTTGGCGGGCGGCAGGTGCCAGGTTCGTCTACGTCTTCATGCAACCCTGCAAGTCGTGCACGTGCCCCAGGAACTGCCTAATGTCAATCACTAAGTGCTGTCGCAATGCTTTAGGTGACGATGGAAGGCCCGAACACGTTACAGACTGCCATTGTCCAATGCTCGGCCAAAAACCTGCGAGTCATTCAGCCCCGCAGTATTGGGTGTAAAGTCCTTGATTGGCGGAAGGTGCCAGGCTCATCTTCTTGTTCGGCCACCCCTGCCAGGGCCCTTGTTGTGCTGCAGTTGCCTTCCAGCACTCGCAGTGCGAGATTCTGTTTGCCATGGTGATCCTTTTTTTCCCCAAACAGTTGGGAGCCGACTGTCATCCTTTCAAAGTGCAGAACCCCGGGCTCGACAGTTTGGCCCCATTGATCGGCCGGCTCACCGAACCGAGGAAGCGAGGCTTTGGAAGGGTGGCGGGGTGGAGTGGGGGGGGTAGTGTTCAAGATCGTGTTGTTTAATCTTGTGCGGGGAATGCGCAACATGATCATAGGTTAGGCTCAGCTCATCGGCTCAATCACTCACTCATTGACTTACCCCTGCACTCTTGCACTTCTGCACTCCCTCACTTCTTATTCTCTCTTCTCTCTCTTTTTCTCTCTCTCTCTCTCTCTCTCTCTCTCTCTCTGTCTCTCTGTCTCTCTGTCTCTCTGTCTCTGTCTCTGTCTCTGTCTCTGTCTCTGTCTCTGTCTCTGTCTCTGTCTCTGTCTCTGTCTCTGTCTCTCTCTGTCTGTCTGTCTGTCTAGAGTCTATTGAACCATCAA